TATAGATATCTTGAGGACATTTCACATGTGAAACAGCATGTGAACCATCTTAACCTAAGTATTTAAGCTGCTGCTCTGTTCAGTCTCAACTTTGAAAAACTATAATTGCAAAAGTGAAGAAAATGTGAATTTAACAATTAACATTTTAGAATGTATTCCTACAAAAATTCAAAGAAAGCAAACATTTATGTGCCTATTTAAGAGGTAAGGCTGAATTACTGAATTGTCATGTTGAAGAGCTCTGAAACTTACCATTTCCTTCTCAGATTCAACATCAGCGAAACTTCTTCTAAATTAATTGTTTCAAAACCAATTACAAAATTGTTCTTTAAAATACACAGGAAATTGTGTTTACATTTTAGGTTTTTTAACTTTGCATATTTAATTCCAGTACTTCCATACCAATCAATGACAGTGTGTGCACAACTGCCTCTTTGTCAATGTGGTCTCTGTTTTCTGCAGTATGTTTAGAAAAATTATGATACTGATATGACTCAAAGTTGATCTAGTCTCAACAACACCATGTCTCTACAAGGGACTACAAATAAACATCTCAGAAGTGTGACAACCTGAGAAAAGGCCATCATGAGACAACATGATCCTTATCCACCCACGCTCCCAAGTAGTTTCAAACTGTTCTATAGCATAGACTGCCAAAGCCTTGAAGCAAAGCAAGGTTCATATTCAGGTTTCTATTGCTAATGAAAAAAAAAACCACAATAATATTCTTTTCTGCCAGTGTTTTTGGGCTCTAGTAGAGTAGTCCATGTATAGCTGGCAAACTAGCTGATAACACTTTATGTTATCAAGTTTTATTGAAAAATATCATTATTTAATAAGAYGATTTGTTACATCATAATGCTTGTAATAAAAACAAAACTAGAAGTTGGGGACTCAAATGAAAAGGTCTTCTGTTTCTTTGCCAAAAAGCTACTTCATAATACTTCCTTTGTTTCTTTCTGCGCTGAACGAAGTGTGTGAACTTGGTTGGTGGGGTCTCTCTCTTCATTACCATTAGCACTACGAATCTGAAAACTTCAGCAAAGAGTTGGTGGCAGAAACTCAGGTGGAGCACAGAAGATGGAACTAAAGTAGCAGTTCTTTAAAATCCTTCATGCTTAGCAAGACACCTCATAGGATTTTTCTATCAACAACTTCTCCATCAGTTAAAAAGAAATCAAGCCAAGGCACACATCTTGGTAGAAGTGGGTACCCAAATTTGACTTAAAGGACTGCTCCTCTCCTCGAGACAGGTGAAATATGCCTTTTCATGTCTAGTTTCTCTCCAAACTGCTCAACCAGGGCATGATCAAGATCTTCTGCAGCCACAGAAATGCCGCTTTATCCCTCTATGGCCTGGTGACCAGTAGCAGGATATGAGGCTACCTGGACTCCAAGCAAAACAAAATTCCTCTGCTCCCTTAAAGTGCTCTTATCAAGCTTTTCCAGGTCTCTCTGGATGGCAGCGCAGCCCTCCGGAGTGTCGGCCACTCCACCCAGCTTGGGATCGTCCACAAACCAGATCAGGGTGCCCTCTGTGCCCTCGTCCAGGTCATTGATGACCAAGTTGAACAGCACCGGGCCYGGTACTGACCCTTGGGGGACACCACTGRCCACAGGCCTCCAACTGGACTCGGCCCCATTTATCACCACCCTCTGAGCTCTGCCATCCAGCCAGTTCTCAACCCATCTCACTGTCCACTCTTCCAGATCATGCTCCCGGAGCTTCTGTATGAGGACTTCCCCTTGGTGAATCCATGCTACTACTCCTGATCACATCCTTCTCCTTCGTACGCCTAGAGATGCTAGAGATGTTTATCTTGACTCATTGGCCAAAAATGACACTGTATGGCAACCTTTCCATCCAGAGGTGCAGAAGGTAAGTTTTCACTCCTCCGTCCTCAGATGGATCACTCCTAATAGGGTTAGCAGATACATCTGGAGAATACTGCCTTCCCTAATATACCACTGAACAGGATAATTATTGTCTTAACTGTAYGTTTTTAGAATTACACAGACAAAAATATTTGTACATTCAACCATGTCCCCAAAGCCACTTAAATTTATAAGCTATTAAAACAAGAGAGAAGTACATCATGSTAAAATTCCACAGGACATCGGGTACAGCTAACTCTTATTTAATGTAAATGCCAGAACTGATTCTGAAGTAATTTGAAATAAACAGTAATCTAAAAAGCATAGTTCACATAGCATCATTGAAAATAAGACTCAGTGTTGTTATGTCTGTCTAATGTGGTTTTGTTCTTCTTTCAGAGCAGAAAAAGTCACTTTACTACTGCTACCAGCCAGAAAGTCAGGAGAAGAAAAGTCAACTTTATACCACAGAAGATCCACAACTTTTGAAGAAGTAGAAGCCTCAACAAGTTATATTTTGCTACTGGGTGCTCCATCGGCCCAGGCATGATTTCACACRAAGATTTGCATCTTAGGATCTTTCTCCTATTTCTTGGGAGAAAAACAAACAAACAAGCACAAAAATGACACGAATTAAAACTAAGATTTTACTTAGATATAAATTTTAAAAAATATCTGCAGAAAATTATCTTAGTCATATTCAAGGAGTCTCAAAATCTTTACCTTTAATTTAATCATCCCTGGAGGACTTCGTTGTGAAGTTTGAAGAGGAAGCACATGAAATTTTCAGCTCCTTTTTAAATAAGCCTACAATTTTGATTAGGGAATGGTTTTAACCAGGAAAATCACCATTCTGATCCCAAAGAAATATTTTATTTAGACTTCTCATTGGGGATGGGTAGCAGTGGTGACTGCATGGGATTTTTAAGTTATTCAAAAAAAAAGCTTAGCTACTCCCAATTTCTTTGGATACTTAGGGCAGTAATTTCACAGCTGATATTTATGGGAAGAAAATAATAAAAAAGACAGTATTTTCCAAATTTGGTGGACCCCCAGATCAGAAGACATCCTCCAAAATTCTTACACCGGACATCATTCAAAGCCTGAGACCTTTTCACACACAACCTGTGCCTCTTTGAAAATCATTAACAACTAGCAAACCACAACCCGGGACAAGCTCTCTCCTGCAGTCAGCCAAGCAGAGGACTCTCTCATCGTTCCAATGGTCTGTGAGTAGAAGACCTCACGACTAATGGGAACGTGACTCCGGCTCTGGGAAGCCTTCCTGTGTGAGCCAGCACCGGGACGCAGGATAGAGCCCGGCTCAGGCCACCACCCTGAAGTCCCCCAGCTTGGACCTCTCTCCTCACCAGCTGCAATGGTGATTGGTGCTATAAAGCTGTCATTTCGGGACAGAGATGTGTCCTCCAGCCTGGCAGTGCCCAGGCCGGCCTGGCCTTGCTGAACATACCAGCTCAGCTGAAGAAGGAATGAAATGACTCCCACGTGGAAAGAAATGGGAAGTATTGGATACAGGACAACTTTGGTTGCTCCTCAGCCTTAGCAGACCCAACTCTGCCCATGGGGAACAAYAGCTCATCAACACAAGAAGAAGCCCTCAAAAGGCACAGCAAGCAAGAGGCAAGACGTAGGTCAGGCCTAGGGTGCAGAGCAGCAACGCAATGTGGCTCATAAAAGCAAGTGTGTTTTCCTCCCTTGGCTGGGACAAGAAAACACTGACAGCAATCTCACTATGGTTTTCTCAAGAGGAGAAGCAAAGGCCTCCATCTCCTACCATCACTTCCCCAGTGCGGCCTCCATCTCCTACCAGTGCAGTTCACTTATCCCCTCAGTTTCACAGCATAATGCTACAAATGGTCATATAAGTAAAATGTTTCAGTGAAAGACTCTGCTGAAACCATCTTCCTTCTACATTTTTTGTTTTTTGTTCTTGAAAAGTTATTTTTATCCCAGATCATTTCCATGATCCAATTTTACCATACAGCCTCACCAACTCTTGCGCATCCAAAGCCAAAAAAGTGACAAACTGCCACAACAGTGGTGGTATTTTAAGTCAGCTTTGGTGCTGACGGCAACATCCCACTCAACTATGCTGCTTGTCAAACTACAAACTTAATTGCTAGCAGTTTCCTTCTGTTCAAATGATAGGGCCCTGTGTTTCTGGACTTGCAGACATAATCAATAACTGCATTTTGAAATTACAGCCACAATTGTACTGTGGAAGAGTATTCAAATTTAACTACTTGTGCAATCAAGCAATCTCCATATTTGTGATCATCTCAGTATCATTCCAATCCAGTCACTTACAGCTCTAGTCAAAGGGCTAAAATGGGCCCTCTAGTTTATATTTTCATGTGACAGAAAACTGCAGCTCAGGAAGCATATACAGAAGTATTGCAAGCCGACTGGAATCAGATTCCTGATCACTAGCTCTTCATTCATAGGACAAGTTTTATGATTCACAGTGAGTTATTCTCTATTAAGAGAGGATAAAAATCTTATTAATGCTGGACCACGACTAGTAGACATATGCTTCTTGCGCAGCATTAGGTCAGTCTTTCATCCTCTGTGCCTCAGTGCTGCTCTTTGTAACATAGACGTTCCTCCAGCTCAAAGAGGCGCTTGAAGTGAACATCACTTTCTACAGAACTTCAAATACGGCAGTAATAAGAGTAACATCAAAAACAAGGAGTACGAAACCCAAGGGGCTGAGTGGTATGTAATACCATATGACATTAATTTCAAAGACAGAGCTAACTATATGAATAAGCATTGTTAATTAGACAGCACACTTGCCTTAYGTGAGCATGCACATATACAAAACCATTAGCAAGACTACAGAGAACTTCCCATACCTTGACAAGGTATGAGGGTCATTGCAGATCACTGCTGTGAAACACTAAGGAAGGTAACACTGGCCTGCAATTACTTGTAAGTGTAAAAATTCCATATTCCAAAATACAAAAAGCAAGCACATGTCGATGATGGCAAAGACACACAAGGACACTTCCAGTATTTGCAACTTTCACCGACTTTGTTGCTTACGATGAAAACTCCTCCTCCTTGCTGCAAAACTAGTTAACAGGAAAATGGCAGACATGTACCTTGCAACAGGTTCAAATTTTCTAGTTCACAAATGGAGAATGAAGAGGGAAGGCAATTTGGACTTCCAGCTCACAGCAGGAGTAGCTGCAGTTTCTTGCCCCAAAGAAGGAAAAAAAGCTGTTTCTGGGTTGTACAAAAGAGAAGAATAAGAAAAGATGCATGACCTCATAACCACAGCAAGAATCTGTGATGACAAACCAGACACTCGATCTATTTAGGGAAGATAAAAATCACAATGTCAGTGGTTGGGGCCCACAGCAAGCAGCACAGCACACGATGGATTCAAACACAAATTACACCCAGCATATAAGGAATARCCACACAACACTGGGCAGCAGGGAAGGTACCAGGTTCCCTCTTCTCAATTCCTGCCTAGCATTGTCAGCARCACTTATTTTAGAAATGCATTTTACTTAACTTATCTCGGGCAGAGTTCATTTGCTGCTGATCATTGTGGCATTTTGAATATCACTAACACATCCAGGCTGCTCATCTCTGTGATTCCAAGCACACGTGTTTCCTCCTTTCTGTTTACTTGGCACGCGCACCTTGCTCCGCGCGAGCGCCGACGCCGGCTGCACGGCTCCGGCGGCAGGCAGGCGCCCCGTAGCTCCGCGCACGGTCCGCAGTTCCGGCCCGGGAGGCACCAGGGCCCGCGCCGGCTGCGCTCCCGGCCTCAGAACCYGCCGGCTCCCGCGGGATGCCGAGCGGGCGGCGGGAGCGGGCGCTGCAGGCGAGCACGGAGAGTGTCGCGCTACGCGGGACACCCGGAGAGCTGCTCCATGGCATCCAGATCATCCTCCTGAAAGAACAGCAAAGARGTCTTCCCGAACAGCACGCAGGCTACGCAACAGACACTTTTTTGAAGTCTGTCCCATAAACATGCATTTATTGCGGTAAACCCTGTAAGCATGGGCTTGCTTGCAAGCACCTGCCTCCATTTCCCTGATACTGGTCAGACCTGTACACGTGAATTTAAAGATTGCTGGTCTACACAGACATCCGCCAAACTCAGTGAAACTACTTCACCTACTGCTTTTAACTAGCTTAAGGAACAAGTCTTGTTTAAGTAACAATGGTTAAACTTGGTACACTGTTTTTTTCCACTCTACATCTATSTAAGTGGGGAAGGAGAAGAGGAAATACAGTAAAATATATGCATATTTATATTTTTTTTCCTAGATATATTAATTATCAAAAGCCAGGCTTTAAGAACAAAATAGTAAACTATTCATTTTTTTTTTTGCCGCAAATCACTTTTTGATGGCTACATGGCAAAAAAGTTAATTAAAGGTGGTAGAAGGTATAGGGATGGAGGAAGAGATGTGACAAATTTAGAATTAAAACTTTTCCTTAAGTTTTGAAAGAGCCAGAGTAGCAGCTCTATCAGCCATTCATCAGACTGTTCTCAGCTTTGAAGATCAAAGAAGTTTGAGAGACCATTTAATGAATTCTAATAAGAAGCTTCTGCACCATAATAAGCCATGGGATAAAATATCCCAATGCTTAGCTTTAAGAAAAAATCTAGGTGTTAAAACAGACTTTCATGAATTCACAAACTACCAGTGCTCTTAACTGTCAGGTTAAGAAGAGTTTCTGTATTTTTCTTGTTTTGATCTGGTCCCGCTCATCCCCTTTGCACTGTTTTAATGTCAGCACATTAAGATTTACATAAATACACAATTCCCTGCAAAAACAGAAAGCGAGCAAAACCTCTGTTTCTTCACCCTAAACAATGCCCTTTTGGAAAGGGCACGAGACACATGTTTGCATTTCTTTTAGGAGAATCAAAGTAACACCTCCGAAGTCGATTGTTTTCCTAAGCCACAGCAAATACTCACGGGTCAGCTTCAAAGAAGTCGCGTTAAAAAGAAGGGAGGGGAAAAAGAAGCTTCACCACCCAAACGCGCAGGGGGAACTTGGCTGTTTCAGGACCTAAAGGGGCCGAGTTTGCCCCAAAGCTGCCCCCTCCAGGACGTTATTCAGGAAAACGAAGTCGCGTGGACAGAAACGCCTCGACCCGCCCCGAGCCCTCGCAGAGGCTCAGAAATAAGGAGAAAAATATAAAATAAAATAAAATAAAATAAAATAAAATAAAATAAAATAAAATAAAATAAAATAAAATAAAATAAAATAAAATAAAATAAAATGAAATAAAATGAAATCCCGCCGCTGCTCCCGCAAGACCCTCCGGGGCTCCTCGAGCCGCCCCTGCGCCAGCCCCGCGCCGCGCAGAGACACCGCGGAAATGAATACACCAACAGGCAGAAAAACAAACTAATAAACGCGAACAAACCACGAAACCGGGCAGCGCCTCCGCACCGACACCCTCCAGCCCACGGGAAAGAACAAAAAGAAAGAGAAAATAAATAAAAACAGAGAGGGAAGGAGACAAGCCAGCACTGGCGGGTACATAAACGGGCACACAGAGACACACACACACAGAGTCGCACATACATGCGGACGCACACAAACGCACAGGGGTGTTTTCCTCTGCCCGTGGGCAGCGCCGTGCCCCGCAGAGCCCCCGCAGCCGCTGCCCCAGCCCCGGCCCCGCGCTCACCTCCGCCTCCAACACCGGCACCGGCGCCCGCCGCGGCACCGAGCGCCCGCCCCCCCTACAGGCCCCGCCCCCTACAGGCCCCGCCACACAGACCACGCCCCTCACCGCCCTGTCCGTGTCCCGCCCGCCCCTGGCCACGCCTGCCCCGCCCTGACCACGCCCCTCCCAGCCGTGGCCCCGCCCGCGGGCCCGGCGCCATTTGCAGGTGCTGGTGCCGCGGGCTCCGCGGTTCCTGGTGGTCCCGGTGTCCGCGCGGGAAGCGGCTGCCGGGAGCAGCCCGTGGTGGCGGCCGTSGCTCAGGCGGCCCCCCGGCTCCCCACGGGAACCCGCTCCCGGGAAACCAAGCGGTTTTCCTGCCGCCGAGGCTTTAGGGTGGACTCCATCCCATAGGATTTCCACCAGCCCGCGTGGGTGAGCTTCCTCACGGAGCTCACGGTGGGGCATGTTGGAAGACTCGAGATAGCAGCGGCTATATGTAGACAAAATATGTATCTATACATGCCTTACATACATTATATATATAGTGCATTATATACATTATATATACATATGTATATAYATAYACATCACCAAATCCCTATCCCAGGCAGAACCTCTCATTCCCGTTTGGGCAAAGCAGCACCAAGGAGAGGAGGGAGCTCGTCCTCCTTGGTGCTCAGCAAAACAAGGGACTTCACCCAGGGACTGCAGTGAGGTGGAGCTGATGGTGGTGGTGGTGATAATGATGATGATGATTTAGGCAGAATGCCCGTATTCCCTAAGTTACTGGAATGCATGATAAAATTGTCATTATTTAGCCTTACAAAGCCTGGCTGAAGCCATGTACAGTGCGTACGCTAAACTCGGTTTTAAGACCCTTAGTTCCAGGTCAAAAGCATTTCAGCAGCATGCTGCTCAGGTACCTCTGTCKGGCTCAGACTCCTCCAGAGGGATTATGTGGGATAGGGAAAGGGAGCTGGGCTGCTCCCACGGCAGCTCCGCTCCTCAGATGGGGAGGACAGAGGCACAAGGAGCGCAAAGACGGTCAGTGCTGAGCTTGTGCTGCCTGGAGTGTCGGCGGTGCCCAGACCCTGCCTTCGTGTTCCTGACACTCCGTAACTGCAGCCAAGTGTTCCTGCCAGCACGGGGCKTTTAAGTGGGATATTGCCTCTTAACCTGGTCAAAGCATCTGCCTAAGGAGGGCTGTGCAGGCAGCTCGGGCGCTGCAGGATGCCTGTGGGAGATATAATAGCCCCAAATAGCTGTGGGGAGCCGCTGATCAGTGACTCTTCCCACCTCAAAATCTGGGGAGCTCAACTGATTTCAGCACTACATTCAAGTGGAAAAGCTCAGCATAAAGAGCCTCGCATCTTGCAGGTCTCTCTTAATATTTTCACTTCTACATTCAAGTTGTTTTCCATACACAGCAAAGATAGGCAATGCTTAAAAAAAAAAAAGGTCTCACATAGGGAGCTTTCTCTACATTCAAAAACAGAATCTGAGAATCTGAAAAAATAATTTCCAAAAGTCTGAAAATGCAGAGCCACTTAGARCCTCCTGATTAGAAGTGGGTAACAAAAGCCTTCTGCATCAAATTTTTCTCTCCAGATCATGATTTATGCAAGAGTAAAGTCTAAATGAGCTTTTGGAAAACAACTATTCTATGGTATGTTAATTTGGAGAGAACTATTTTTTTCCTAGAAACGTGTAGAACTACAAAACATTCTAATTCTTCTCGTAATTAAAATAAGTAATTCTCTGCTCTATGATATGTTCAGAAACATCCTGTCCCTGTCTCATGTCTTTTACTGAAGAGTCTACAGGAATATATTTAAAAAAAAGCTCTTCTCAAGTATTTGTGATTCAATCAGAATATGAAAGTAGTCAAGTTGTAAAAGTTACATATTAAAATAATGCTAACAATTCTCATTGAACAGGCACTTCCCAGGAAATTCAGACCTAAATTTTCAAACTTATYGGTGGCTTTTACTTACCCAAGTATTGAGGTTTTCCTCTTCTTGCAGTAATTGCAGTGTACTCTTACACACTGTCCAGGAGACACATCTCTCTAGTGTACCAGTGAATGAACACCAAGCCTGGCTTTTGCTCACTGGAAACAAGGGTAGGAAGGCAGGCCCTATGACAGGGCCCTACACACTTCCATGTAAGCAGACACAGTCTGTAAGGATTACCTAGATTTCTGGTGATTCCTTCCAGGAGAGCACAAGTCTTTGGTGTTAAGAACYGTCCATGTTCCTCCGTTCTGCTGCTGCACCAMAAGCAACTGAGATAACGGAGCAAAACTAAGTGTAGAGCTGTGCTCCACAAACCAAAGAGCTCCTCACGCAGATACTCACGTGAGCTGCGGTAACTTAGGCAAATTGGTCATCTGGAGACCTTCATCCATAAATAAATAATACATACATTATACTGGTGTTATTAATCCTATTACTCTGAAAATAACCGCTTCACTTTTCTGGAACTAAAAAATATATATTATATATATATAAAATAAATATATAAAAATATAATATAATATATGAAAAAWATATATAGGAAACTAATTCCCTGCCTCACTTTC